TGCGTTTTTAATTCAATTTACCCGTATAGTTTTGCAAAAATATGACAATATAAACTATATTCAAAAGCCATCTTCTGCAGTACGTCAGTAAGTAAGAAGCCAGTTTTAAAAGCCGGCTTCTTGGTGACTCCAGAAGCCGGCTTCTGTTGTCCTTCAGAAGCCGGTTTTTAAAAGCCGGCTTCTTATTGACTGTAGAAGCCGGCTTCTGTAGTACGTAAGAAGCCAGTTTGTAAAAGCCGGCTTCTTGGTGACTCCAGAAGCCGGCTTCTGTTGTCCTTCAGAAGCCAGCTTTTAAAAGCCGGCTTCTTGGTGACTCCAGAAGCCGGCTTCTGTAGTACGTAAGAAGCCAGTTTGTAAAAGCGGTTTTTGCCTTCGAGTACTTCTGGACTGAGGGGACGAACAACCAATTGATCGAATAGATGGCATTTAAAAGCAAGAATATAGTCCTGTTATTTAATTATAGTCCATGGTATGACTCTGGATTATGAAGAATCCGTAACACAATATAGCGCAGCAACATTTGAAGCAATATTTAAGGAGGTCCATATGTCTTGATTCTTTAAAATGTCATTTGCTGAAAAAACGTCGGGCTTTGGGTCTAAAATATGCCTCTCATTACAAGGGGTCAAAAAACTTAAATATTTTCATTGGAATATTTACATATTTTATAAGACTCAAAACGTTAATGTAAGCATATTTACAAAAAATGGATTATCATTATGTCAAACCTAATTCTAATTTTAATGTAATTTCTAATCGTTAATTAATGTAATTATATAAATGTGCTTATTTTATTTTGTTTATTTTTATCAAATATCAAGCAGATTCGACAAAATTGTGTGAATTATTTAAAAAAAACATTATTTTAAATATATTAGACTTTAACTATTTGAAAGTTTTATTCAAAGCATATATACCTATTTATCCCATACTTGGACGTGTAACAGGTACATAAAGCGGGTTTGTAAAAACTCATATTTTCATCAGCGGGCAGATATAGCTTAACTTCCCGCTCCGAGCGGACCTACGGCCCTCGGGCAGAGATATTATATTCGCCTCGGGATAATCCCAATATCCTGAACCTCATATAGGATAATCTCTATTTATCCCATACTTGGACGTGTTACAGGTACATAAAGCCGGTTTGTAAAAACTTATATTTTCATCAGCGGGCAGATATAGCTTTACGTCCCGCTCCGAGCGGGCAGATATAGTATATCTGCCCGCTACGTCATAATCGCCGCTCGTATATTTGTTCATAATTTGTAACGTTCGCGTAATGACTGTAAACGACAATGGAGAAAACACAGACAATCGGGATCTGTTTGATGGTTTAAAAAAGGGAAGGAGCATCCACTTAAAACATTCGAGAAAATAGATGTGGGAATATTTGAGAGAACAGAAAAATCCGCTCACGGCCAAGAAAACAAAACTGGACATGAATATTCTAAAATATTTCCACGATTGAACAATGTGAACCAGATGACCAAGATTGGTATGGGATAAACATATTATCCTATAGTCGGTTCAGGATATTGGGATTATCCCTTGGTCAATATAATATATTTTCCCTCGGGACCTGCGGCCCTCGGGCAAATATATTATATTGGCCTCGGGGTAATCCCAATATCCTGAACCTCATATAGGATAATCTCTATATATGTACCTATCACGCCAGGAGTCAAACAAGAAATAATTGCCATGTTTTATAAAACAAATATACACAAACAAATACAAAAATATATTCAGAGGGCATGTCTAATAGTTTATAAGAGATATATGCAATCAAACGCCTTACATTTCTTTTTCGACGTTACTGCTGCATATAATCAGATTTTCTGATGGTAATATATTCTTTGACATTACTGCTGGTTATCAGCTGATTTTTGGTGTAAATCAAAAATATTTTTTCACAAAGCTTCATCAATTCGACCAGGCCTTGGTGGAGCAATATCTAACTAAGGGCAAAATAATTTTAGCTGTAGCCACAGTAAGTCAATGAAGAACAATACGTCCCTTTTATTGATAGTTGACTCCTTACGGTGACAGTCCATATCTCAAAAAGTATTAAGACCCATTTTTCGAAAAACTTCAATAATTTTAGCAGATTCCATTCTTATATAAAACGATTCATAATAATACCATTTACATCGGAATGTTATAAAAACCCTTCGACCTTCGACCTGCACCTTCGACCTTCAGCTTCGACCGACAGGGTATCCAAAAAGCGGGCCAAAAAGAAAGTTATAAAAACCCTTCGACCTGCACCTTTGACTTTTCTTATGAAAATTGTCAAAGTCCAAAAATATTTCTTTGAAAAACGACTAAGTCCAACTTCACATAGATTATGAAATTGAACGGAGCTCTGTCCTCGTCGAAAGCTATAGCTGTCATCTCTTGAGTTTACATCGGCGAAATACTTTATATGCCTGGTGACGTCATCACTTTTCGGACAAGATTTGAAAGTTAAATAACAAGTAATTGACGCCATATCCCGTTTTAATATTGATCACACAACAAGACTATGATTTGAACCCAATAAATAGAACAGTAATTGATCGCTACTTACTCTAATCTTACCTCGATTCAATCGAATCAAAACCAGGAAGTAAGTTCTAAAAAGGGAAACTTTCATTTAAACTACCCGATTGACTACCCGATCAACATCAACAGAATCTTAATTTGATAACATGAAAACGCTATTTCACCCCTGTAACTATACCTAGAGTACTGCAAACGTTGCTACAATTTAAGATCTTAACGATCTCACCTGTGAACCACAAATCAAGTGACTCTTGCGTGGTCTGAGATCGGCAAAAATAGCTTCTATAATATTTTCTTTTTGGACACCCTGTAAGTCGAAGGTGAAGGTCGAAGGTGCAGGTCGAAGGTCGAAGGGTTTTTATAACATTCCATTTACATCACATATATTGAAAAAAGTAATTCAATATGTTGATGTGCTGATTACGTAATTTGTTGTACTTGTAAGAAAAATAACCTAGAATTTATAGTTGAAAAAAACATACACTCAAAATTTATTTCATATAATTTTTTGAAGCAGTATGTACTCCAAATTGTAAAAAGTGGGAATAGTTGTTACTAACATTTTTGACTCCTGCTAATGACACGCATAATTCAGCCCAAAAGCCCGAAGAATATTGAACGTCTATTATAAAAAATAATACTGGACATGTGTAGGTACAGTATGTAAATATTAGGTCAAATAAAGCACTAAGTAATTATTGAATGATTTGATGTGCAATACAGGATATATTCTGCTCAAGAAATGCTGTATTGCAGCGAGACGGAGTCGAGAGCAGAACATACCCTGTATTGTGTTTCAAATCATTCTATAACGTTTTTATCGTGGGATCTTAGGCCAACACATTTAACGTAATATATACGGTATACCTATAATTCGTGCTTTCATTTGGTAATTTCAACTTTAAAATTGCCGATTTTATTGGGTAATTTTACACATGACAAACTACTCTGATGCCCGAAAATGTGGTACTATTGAAAATAAAGCGTTGTGTCATAAACAGGAATGCAATGTACCAATGCTCATTATCTCTCATATTGGTATTACACATTTATATCCTTCTTTACTAATTATGCCATAAACTAGCATTCCTGCCTCTTTGAAATGATGATAGAATACGATTTGTTATTAATTCACATCTGCTTATTACTTGCATACTTGCATATAAACCATGTATAAAGCCATTAAAACTGATGCATATGATTACCAGGAATCTGCTGAAATCTAAAAAAGCCAAATTACTGGCTTCAAAATGGAACATCAATTAGGATATACGTTTTTTTACTGTTTATTTAATTTTGTCAATAAAGGTATTGCATTTACATACATGTAGAGTATTCATTCACAATTAAACCAAAATTCACGAGTATCAACTAATATTCAATGCATATCACAATTTCGTTGAGCGATTTTTTGGCGAGCGAGTTCTCAACATCTTGGCGCTTCATATGGACAGAAGTACAATTATTACCACCTTGCCGGGCCAGTTCTAGGGGTTTTAGTGCTAGTTTAGAAGGCGTTCATTTTACTATATCGACCTGAGAAATGTGTGACGTCATAGTGGTGGTCCATATGGACCGGTCTAGAATATATTCTGGACCGGCAATTTTCCCCGGGAAATTAGATATAGTTCAATGCGTAAGATTTTCTTGCTGTTTCAGTCCTGGTCGTTAACGGTGGTAATAATACTAATAACGTCATTTCTGCGAGCAATATAGTGAAATATTGGACCTTGGGCCTTCTGCCCTCGGTCCAATATTTCACTATATTGCCCTTAGAAATGACGTTTTTGTACTAGTATTCTTACGTATGTTGGATAATCTTCTCTCGAGGACATTGGAATCTTCGCTGCTTTAATCAGTGTGATACTTCAGAGATGTGAGGCACGTATATATTATAAGATAAACAAAAGGCATCGATAGAACAATCTCTGGAGTACGGCACTTAAAGGAATATTATAGAAAAAACTGGCGACCGTCTATTTCATGCACACAAGCCAATGTCTTTGGATAATCTAGATACTTGTTATAAGTCATGTTTTCAATTCTTGTGTATAAGTGTGCAAATAGGTATATTAGTGTATCTGAAAGCACCAGTGTTACTGAAGAAATTGACATATTATACACGATAGAAGCAATGAAGGGTAAACATGGGAATTGACCATTGAATAACGATACTAAATTCATAGCCAGCGTCTTGGAGACGGTTCTTCAGTGTCAACAATCGATGGGTTTAAATCAATTAATCGTTGTATTAACATAACGATTATGTAAAGAGAACCATAGTAACACACCAAGCTCCCACTCCACCCATGGAGTAAAAACTCTTGGACCACGTTTAAAAGCCTGAAAAGTCTCGAGGACGCGTGGATTATACCATGGAAATAACAAGTATCGGTTGTGACGAAACATCAGGATGTTCGATACAAAAACATCAAATAGAAAAAGATCAGACAGAATGATGATCCGGAAAACGTTCAGGGTAAATTGTTAAGAACGGGCATTTCTCTCAATATTCCGGTTGTGTATTTATTTATTTATTTTATCGCTATGTACAGGTACGATCCTTAAAGTGACAAACATCTGGTGTTTCTACAGAATGGTAGCGAATACTCGAACCAGCAGCACACAGTGAAGGATATTCCAACAATAAAATTTGATCAAACATATCTTAACAATGAGTTGACATACAGAATGGTCTTTTAATAGAAATTGAATGCAATAAGTTGGTTTAGTTGTGTAAAGAGTATTAAATATCCAGAAGTTAACAACAAACGGCACATAGAACATAGAAACGAAGACAGGATTGTTCATTTCTTTAAGACTCGAGAAACAATAATTTGGGAACTTAAATTACACATTACAGGGAAATGTTCAAAGTGAGTTGAGCGAACAAAGATACAGAGAAGACATTATGGGCTGCTCAAGTTCGACTGGCGGGGCAGCAGGTGAACTACCCACCGGCCCAGTAAAGACAGTTGACCCTAGGCTACCATTTAAGACTTATAGACAATTGTTTAGCTTGAAGAATCACTGGAAAACAGTACAGAGAAAAATGGATGCAACTGCCGTCGATGCATTTATCAGGTATGGTCGATGATCGTCTGTCTTTGGCTGTACTTTTACACCGCTCTCAAGTACCCGGAAATTATTGTCTCAGTTGCTAAGGGTTACATTGACCTAAGTACAAATATTATATTTATTGGTAAATTTACTAATACCTCGGTCACATTTGATCGACCCAATCGTACGGCGGCCGTATGTTCCCAAAATCGAGAGAAATATGCAGCATAAAATATAAGGATAAGCAGTGCGATTTAGATTTTCTATATCGATTTTGTGAAGCTACGACCGCCGTACGTCCGCCGTAGACCAAATGTAACTGAGGCTTTACTTGGAAACAGTGAGTGTCATGTAGAAAGGGGGCAATGATTACTAATAACTAATTAATTACTTTTAGCAGGCAAAGAATTTACAGACAGGTTTGCGAATTTTCATGTTTTTGTTATTGAAAAACAGATTTTACCTATATCTGAACCTCTATTTATTCTTTCTTGATTATGCTAAAGCATAAATATATAAAGCACGGTGTTAATGCAAATCGAACTCGATGTGGCAGAAGGAATCAAGCTAACACAATAATTAAAGTACATAGAAAATAGTAAAAATGTAATTGTGTTTTATCCTGTTGATCCGTGTAATATCCATTACGGGGTTTTACTGGATTATGTTTAATTCATGATCATAAGCGGACTCTTGACTGTGTCGATTTATTTCATTTCCACTAAAATTAATCAATTGCTAAGGTACGGTTTCTTAATTGACAACATCATTAGATCAACATCATCGGTTTTGTATTATTTACGACTCGTTGTTGCTTGTTGGATCGTTGTATTAAAGAGGCTCCGATGGGTACATACAGTATCAAGGGTAACTGTGTTTGGTTGTCAACTTTGACAATAGCTAAAAATAAGATTACCAAATGCTTCTTCTTAATATAAATTCTTAGGTTAAGATTTCATGATCGTCATATCCCATTGTATTCACATTAAAACGTATTTTTACCCTTCTAATCTTTCATTTATAAATGTAATTTCGTCTTCTCAATTCGATGTTTCAATGATTCAATGTCATCGTGTTGCTCATGCCACTTTTGAGCTTCAGATGCCCCCTTGATCATTTGATCGCCGTTTAAAAACTATTAGGTACCTCAGCAGATGCAAAATACATTAAATAAGTTGTTCTATTTCTATACAATATTTGACTTTTGTATCAGATGCCTATAACTTTTGGGTTTTGATGATGTGATTTGATTTGATGGTTATCTCGTTTCAACGCTGTTCCCTCTTTTGGACTTTGAAAAATCAGACATGGTGTTCAGGAAATATAATAGATATAGAGATTAAGCATTTTCGTTTCGTTTCGTACCACACTGTTACACCAGTAGATTCATTTTATAAATTTCGGTAGTACCGTTAAAATTATGTATCACTACCCGGAAATATTTACCCTTTGCATTCGTTTGACTTCACTTCTTAAAAGAGAGCTTCGTTTTCACTCTTTCAAACTAAAATAAACCTGTGAACTCACCGTGCCTGCACGCAGGTTAGGAAATATTCAAAAGAACCCCCAAAACTATATAAATGGAAATGGAAATTACAAATTGGAAAAATGCTTCTCAATTAAAGTGCGTTATATACAGTACTACTTGATATAACCTATTGTCATTGTGCGGAGTTGGTTACTATATAATCAAGGGATATACATTGTATGTCTGCACAGTAAATAGTATTCTATTGATAACCGATACCTAGATGTATGATATGTGTACAACGAAAACATTAGAGATGAGTCCAAACCTTTAGTAAATTTAATGCATATCCATAAGTAGTCTGGGTTTCAATTGCATAGGCAATATTTACATAGGATGTTCAATATAAGATTTCAATACAATGTTCTGTAAGAGAAATGTGTAGTTTAAAATCAAAACCGTAAAATTGATAAAAATGAAAACGAAAATCTTATTTTACATCTTGAAAATGTAAATACCAAATTGACGTACTTTTTTGACTCGTATAATTCCTTGCCATATATATTATCTTTTTATAAGATATGTTTACGTATACCTTATTCAAGGAATATATTATGATTTTAACATTTATGTCTTGAATTTTTAAAATGTGGACTGGATATCCATATTACTATTTTGTAGCATGTTTTTGTTCAATTTTTCATTCCCTAGATATCACGGACACTGCCTTTAAATAGTTCTATGGACAGAAATATTAACTCAGTAACTTATGAATTTGCGATACCATAGCGTTATGTAACATAAGTGAGTATAGAGTATGCTATCAATGAACCAATGGCATTATAATTAAAGGTGCAACAATCATTGCAGAGCAATCATGGACCAGTGTCAAAATATACTTAAGTTAGGATATTTCATCAAGACTAACATCTATTTTTATTATCTACAAAGAAACCCCCTGGATGAACATTATTCCAGCTGATATTCCTCTTGAAACATGGTTGATCTTAAAAATATAAAACTGGATTTCCCCTTTTTGAAGCTTTGAACTGAATTTACAATTCTTAATGCTGACATTGATATTTTATCAATACATTTTAAGAAAATAGGTATGTCAAAGAAGATGTTAAGCCAAATGTTGCCTTGATAGCTCAGAAAAAGTTAAAAATTTCCTATGGCTATTTTCTCTCTACATGCCTTGTTGCTCCTTTAATTACAGTAGTCACCCAGGAACATCCTGGAATGGACGTTAAACTCATACTGATGGTGAAAATATGCAATGTAGCCCATGTATTCAAATTGACTGAATAAGTTAGGCTTTACATTTAATATTTTTATCTCTGAACGTAATGTTCACTCAAACTGGCGAAAATTGATGTATATATCATTCGAACAAGGGAATATTGGGAAGATGAAGTGGACTAAACGGCGTTTACCAAGATCACAAGAAATTGTCACATTGTTCTACTCGATCTAGATTCTATGAACATGATACACATAATCAATCAATGAGGCTAACTAAGCAATTAGCAACAGATAATAGAAAGGTTAGATCTTTAAGGAATTTATTTTGTTAAGTTATGTGGATGATATCCTAAACAGTAGGTCGTCTACCCCAGGCATTGTGTTACCTAAACATTTTAAGTGATTCTAGATTGAAATCACAAATTGATTTTTAAAAAGATTGAGTCAAAACGATATGTGTTTATGATATTGTTACCGTTGTTATATGAACATGGTTCGGTCAATTTAGTAGTCTAAATTCAATCAAAATTCGATAATGTAGTGATGAATGGTAAGGTTTCTTGGGATCAATTTACCCATTCGATTCATTTATATGTACTAGTGGACGCGGAATTGATGACACGTCATCACATCTTCAGTTAATTTGCTAATTACTACTTCTAAATATGTTTCCAAAGGTGCCAAATTGAAAGACTAAAACTTTATACAAAAAAAGCAAGAAAATCAGTAGATCAGCAGATTCGAGTCGAGACAATCCATAATGTCGAAAACTTTGAAATGGAACTAGTAAACAATGTCGCACATTTCTTACAATATTCAAGGCCGTGGTGACAAAGTCAAAAAAAGCTAGACCGTGATACCATGGGCTGTCAGCTAGACTAATTGAAAGCCCATGGTGATACTAATGAACCACCAAATTCAAATGATCGAACAAACGTTCAAATATTGTACAAATATGTGCAATGGCCAACAAATAACATATTCTGAAGATCACAGTCAGGTTCCGGTAAAAGAAAACGGAAAGCCATTTTCTATTCAAACTCACTGTCATTCATAGTTATATTCTCCCTTTCAATTCAATTCTTACTTTTTCAGCTTCTTCCGAAAGCATCCTGAACACAAAGCTCTGTTCGATGCCGACTGGATGAAACACGTGGACGACGACAACGAAGAGATGATCCGAGAGAGTATAGCGTTCGAAAACCACGCTGTGGCTATCTGGACAGTCTATGACGAGGTTATGGAGGACCTCGATGGAAATGTCGGTGGTGCAATAAGAACATTACATTCAACTGCAAAAATACATAAAAATATTGATGGCTTTAGTTCTGACTTTTTCAAGGTAAATCTCATATGATTTTTAATTTTTATGCTTGTGAACCAGACTTAGCTTTTTTATTTTGACTTTAACAATCCATTTCATTGCAACATGCATAAGGTGACTATCTTTACACACATCATGTTAAGCGAAATATTTTTTCAAAAATAATACAGTACGTTTCATTTAACTTAAACAAAAAGGGAAGAAATAGTGAGTGAAGCAATTGAAACTTACTATTATTATTATGTCATCACCCCAAGGTTTGACATATTGTTATCTACAATCACAAATGGATAGATGGACGGCGGTTGGTGTTCGGTGGTCGGCGACTGTAAAATGGCGTCTGTTGCATGGCGACTGTAACACATGGCAGGTGGTGGCATTTTGCATGTTAATGCCTCGTGTATCTTTACAATCTACTCATCCAATATTTCTACCAAACTTATATGCCTCAAAGTACCTCTCGTGTTAGTCTTCCTTATGTAGGAGTGTGTTTTCAAATTTCCGTAGACAAAGATACTGATCTACACCCCTTGGTCTAGTATAGGCGATACACTGTACTAAGGTGGTTAGTGTTTTAAATGAATAAATATGCAATTCATCTACATTTCCCTTTACTTTCAGGATTTTAAAGGAGTGTTTATAGATGGTGTTAAGAACGCGCTTGGCGATCGCTACACAGACGCTGCTGACGAAAACTTTCAAAACTTTTATGCATTTCAATTGAAACATTTAGAAGCAGCTTTTAATAAATAATGCATTGTTGAATCGGTCTAGTGCCAAGGCAGAAGGACATGCCAGTTAGATAATGGCCCGTGTAAATAACGTACTTGTAAATAGAGAGGGTCACTTGACGTGTAAATATTGAGATATTTCTTGGAGTTGTGCCTTGTACTGCCATCAACTGACCATCGACTATTATTCTGCGACTGCGGCCATCTCCATCTTTGGACGATCGGTCTAAGTGCTCACTATTCATAAGTCATTAATCATAGGTAAACAATTTAACCAGTCTACCTCTGCATTATCAACGATGGATTGTTGACCTGATGATCTCCTAGGTGGAAAAATTACTGTTGACCTCGACCAGATCAGACCTCGCGATTTATACAGTGGAGGTCTATAAATCCAATTCCCTTCAGCAATTGTATTGAGAGGATAAATGACGAAAATGACGTGCTACATGTAGTTGTTGATAACAAGGGAAATGCCATCCACCAAAGCTTTTAAACGCTGTGATTTAAGTGCGCAGAAAGAGGCAATATGAGACCCATTCAAAAATTCAAGAGACTTGAGAAACAATTCTCTTGGAATATTTACTAGAGATACCGTCCAGGCAGTTTGAGAGCCGTTGTTTGAATTTAAAGGGAAAAATCAAAATATCCCTTTGCTCGGTTTGACCTAGTTTTGATGTAGATTGACCTACATTTTCAAAATGTCAGTACACACCTGGAGAATGCTATCAATTGATATTTTCAAAAAGTAGGACACTCATTCGATACCATATGAATGTGACTTTGTTGAAACGAATGCATTCATAAAATGCCCGTGATAACGTGTAGAATACATGATTGTATAATGTGTCTAAGTTCAATACGATACTAATAAATTATAATACATGTATAAAAACATTTATTTGCGTTTTGTTTCTACTGACAAACGGTTTTTAAGTTGTTTTATTCGACGCTACGTCATGGTGACGTTAACAAACGATTCTTTATTTTAGGTATGACTTATAAACGCCTGGTGATCGGAAGAAACGAACGAAGGGGAGGAGCTGAATTTCGCAATAAAACTAGAAGATTTATTTTTAAGAGAAAGTTTATAATTGAATTGTTAAATAAATAGGCACATGACACGGGGGAAATATGTTAGGTCTTCTAGTATTTTTTTAAACTATAATGGGCTTGTAAGGTAAGATCTATTAAAAAAGGCGCAGCGTCGCCAACATGCAAATGTCAATATTTTTGCTCTAAATCAAGCAACAGAGATGTACACGACCGGTACAACGACCGGTACAAATATTTGTAAGTGACTTTATTATCACAAAACTACTAGTATTGTCATTGTTGGTTTTTTAAAATGCGTTACCACACGTTATATAAAAAATAATCGAAAATTATTAGAATTGAACGAAAGGGAGGGGGAAGTGAATGGAGGGGGGAGTAATGTGTCTATGAGACATATGATGAGAGATATGTAACTTGACTTTATTTCCAGTAACTCCAAATGTCGCTATTTTTCACTCTTCGGAGATGTAACATCCAGTTACTGAGTTACTAAATTCATTTTTCAAACACACGAATTAGCTTTAAAGACATATTACTCCCCCTCCGTCCACCCCCCCCCCCGTTTAATTCTAATTATTTTCGATTATTTTTTATCCAACGTATGGGGAAACATTTTTCAAGAAAACAGCAATGACATTAATTTTGTGATAAAAATGTCACTTATAAGTATTTACAAGAATGCACATGTTTGATGGTTTATGTATTGGCAATCTATACGAGAGTCTTATAGGTAGCTCATAAGGTAAATTGGGACACAAGTATAACCAGATTTATAATCTGGAGCATATCAATCAACCCGATGGAGAGATGGAAGAGTCATACTTGTGATTCAGATGAGATTCGTAAAGTTCTTTATCAGAGGAGCAAGCCAAATTCACCCTATGCAGACAGAGCCTGTGGGAAATATTGGGTGCGGAGCAAATGAGCGGAGGGTGCGGAGCTAACGGTTATTTTTGAATTTAAATTTGGGATATTTCTGAAACTAAGCCGCTTTGGGACTTCAAATATACCAAGATATGTGTATTTGACACCAAATATCAATACAATTGTGAAAATAGTAGCGCAATTCATTCTATAGCGACGCAGTGTGCCTTAAACCTTTCCCAGACCTATATATTTTGAAATTATCCTTTTAATACTGAGTCCCCAGCATTCATAAAAAATGGTGTTCAAGGTGCACTATCTATACAAATTATTTTTGCATCTTGGAAGCCAGGCAGTAGCTGTGTGATTTTATAAAAATTCGGAAATTTTTTCAGATATGAGTCCCCTCTAAATATTGGGTGCGGAGCAGCTCCATAAACGTAGCTCCGCACCCAATATTTAGAGGGGCTCATATCTGAAGAACATTTCCGAATTTTTATAAAATCACACAGATACTGCCTGGCTTCCAAGATGCAAAAATAATTTGCATGGGTAGTGTATCTTGAACACCATTTTTTATGAATGCTGGGGACGCAGTATTAAAAGGATAGTCTCAAAATATATAGGTCTGGGAAATGTTTAAGGCATACTGCGTCGCTATAAAATGAATTGCACTACTATTTTCACAATTTTATTGATATTTGGTGTCAAATACACATATCTTGGTATATTTGAAGTCCCAAAACGGATTAGTTTCAGAAATATCCTAATTTTAAATTCAAAAATGACCGTTAGCTCCGCACCCTCCGCTCATTTGCGCCGCACCCAATATTTCCCACAGGCTCTGTCTGCATAGGGTGAAATTGATTGAATTCATACAACGGTAGGGTGTGGATTACTTACGAGGGGTGATCAATAAGTAATGGACGCTCTTTTACACAGATACTTTTTATAGACCAATTCCTAGCACATTCTTCAGTTTTGATACTGGATAACAAATACCATTTGGTATGACCTAAAGAAAGACAGATGGCAGTAGTAGCTTCCCTGACTATATATGAATTAAATAACAGACAAAACTGCCATCTTTCTGTCGAAGTAGGCCCAGTGTCTCTATGGTTTAGCCTCAGTCACATTGGAGAGGTTAAGCTTTGCATATATAATCGAAACTGAACCTGTACGTATCACTCGACCATATACAAATTCATGTAGCCTTCTCATATAAATAGCCGTTCAAATCCAGTGTTTGTTTAGACTACACCATAGCGTGTAATGATTCTATAGTATGTCCATGGGCGTAGCGCCCGGTACGCTGGGTACGCACAGGCGTACCAGATGGTTGCAAATTCACTCCAAATACAACCAAATTTCAAAATTTTCCTGGGGGAGTACCCCCAGACCCCCCTGAATGCTCCATTTTTGATTCACCTAACTCTTGTTCCCGTGGTGGTGGCGTACTCCTTAGAAAAATAGCGCTTCGCCCATGATGTCATTGATGCGGTTTTATAGCTGGTTTTCTAATACATATTTTAAACGAGCTCGTTTCGTAAGATTTTTGGCGCTAAATCATGCATGACATACATCATCGTGTTCAGCAAGAATTCAACTGTGCATCGAAATCAAAATTGACAGCAAAGTGTTCAATAGACACGAGTAAAATGGTTCCCGTTGACCCAACGTCAAATTTCAAAATCTCCCGTTCTAAACCCGAAACTCTGAAGCTGAAAGAGTATCTGAAGTAGACTAAGCGCGCATAAAACTATGAGCGCTCGATACATTCCTTTGTTAATTTTTGTACTTTGCGTTCACGGTTACGTTGTGAAAAACATCGTTAGCTTAACCTCTCCATTTGCTCTACACGGCGGGCGTCCGGCGGTCGTCACTATCGTTATTAACTTAACAATAATGAACTTAAAATAGAGAGATTTTGCAACTCACTTAACTTATGAAGGGTTTGCTAACGTTATCATGTATTGCATAGCTCTCTATACGTCCATAAGTGTGATATGGACGACGATTTATAAGAACAGCAATCATACTCATGGACGCAAAGAGCTGTGCAATAAATGATGACGTAATCAAATGCTTTATAAGTAACACGGGAATAATAAGCATGCTAAGTTAGTGAGTTGCGAAATATTTTTTTTACCTTTAATTCTACACCTCACAATCACTCCTCATCTGTCTTAGTCATTTAAGGATTTAAGCCCTGGACTCAGCGCAATGGAATGGCCATTCCTTGAAGATGTTGCTTTCCAAAATTTGCATGAGATGCGCAGCGAGTGTTAATTTAAGGAAACAACGCACGAAAGGAATGGTCATTTCACAATGCATTGAGTCTTGGGCTTAGATTATTTTCACACATTGAAAAATATTTTCTGACATCTCACTTAAAAGATAAATGCGAAATCACTAAAAGAATATATTTGCAATGAAACTTTTTGCAAGGGTCAAGTTGGCAAAACATTAATTTCAATTTGTAGAGTCAAGTTGTTGTCACATTGACAACCGCATAAGGAATGACCTTGGATGCGGTGGTTGGTTATAAAATGCACTGCAGTTATGTTTGAACAACACTTGATGCTCGTTCATCTCACTTATGTATTTTATGTATAAATAAAAGGATAGCATTGTTTAATACTGCATCTTATAGATTTAATTTAAATAAACAACGTGCATGCACGCTAGTTGACGACGTGCAATTCTGATTTTTCTAATTATAGTTAAAACGTGAATGTTTATTAAATCTTAACTAATCCTAAAGTGTGTAGTTTAGAGAAGCATGTTCTTCATAAAAAATAAAAGACACTTTCATTTTCCAATCGGTCAAGACACGCCTAACCATCAACAACGTACAGTGACAAAATATACATTCGTACACTTGTAGATGTACGGTGTCACTATTAACTGGTTTGAAGCTAAAACTATGATGTAGGTTTAATGCAGGTTTTAAAAAATTTATCTAAGGAATACATAGAGGATTTCATGTTTACTTTCATGTGTATTCGTTTGGAAAGATCGACTTTTAGCTTTCTGATTCTGTTAACAGATTTTCGAGCATCATTTTTTTCGTAGTAGACCTACCCACAAAAATTGATTGGTTGGAAAATGTTGTTTTTTCACATTTCCTTTGATCATTTTTTCCCCTGTCGCCTAAGAATGTCGGTTATTTTTATGAGAATATGTTTCTCTAAACTTCAAAATTTGGGATGAATGAAGAGTGAATTATGTGGGTGAAAAAACACGAGCACTAGTCGAGAATCTCAACACGTAATTAGAAAGTAAAAAGTCTTGCCAAGAACATGCACATAAAATTAAACTTGAATACCCGTTAATCTTTTAAAACCTACATCACAAAATTTGCTTAAAATCGTTAAAATATGACACATACAGCTTAAATGTACACACGTATATTTTTCACTGTATGCTGTCTGGGCGTACCCGAGATTATGAACTTTTCAAAAATATTTTATGCAATTTCCATGTTGTAAACGTTTATCTTGAAATTCCTTCTCCAAAGATAGACACATGCTTTGTGATATGAATAGATGATTCAAAAGTATGAAAGAAAGAAATACCATTAATCGTCATATGAGTCACCTTGACCTATCTATTGGCCTCTATTCACTTTTGAAAACGTTTGCATGCCATCGATCGGCAAAACATCTCGTGATCATGTTTATTAGGTATATAGGGACCGTCTCATATTCCCCAAAAATTCAATGGATTCTGACGGATTGGTTTGTCTGATATGCATGTTTGTTTGTTCATTTTCCTGCCCAGAAGGTTAAATATATTTGCAAAGTCTCCAGTCATGAAACTTTGAAGACACAATGATACAATTAATGTCAATGGAAAATTGTAAATAATACATGAGCGACTGCATGGTTAACTATTCTACTTAAATACTTTGCAATGGTCCCTTGCGTGCCTTAATAAAACTCACATGCGTTGTATTGTGGACGACGATAAAACCGATATTCTCTTAATGGAAAATGGTCATGTGATGCACAGGTATACAAAGCTTAACCATACACTATATATTGTACCTGCAGGTAAAATCGATTTCTACATTTACAGCGACAGATTGAACTACTGCAAACTACATGTACACCTGGGTTAAGATCAGACCTTTATTCTTCAATTCTAGATTGGGATTTCTTCACTTCTGGAGACTACACTTCTGGAACCAGTTATTTACGTCTGGAGATTTTTAATTAACCCAGTTGAGGCTACATAGTGAATACAAATCTAAAGTAAATACACAAATGGAGTTCACTACAAATCTGGAAGCATTAAATATCTGAGTGTAATTTCGATCAGTGTCGTAAGTATTAAATCTGGTGTCATTACGATACGTTGTGGCAAATCTACATTTCTGTTGTCACAACTACATATCTGGTGTCATAGCTCGGTCCTGGTGTCATTACTGCGGCTGTCATTAGAGCTACACATCTCATTCCTATGCTTTACGAATCAGAGATTAACACCTGAGATTATCATTTCCTGACAGTTCCACGATGAATGGATTTTCAATATGCACCTTACTGCTTCAACTGGTCAGCATATACGTGGAGGGACAGAAAACAACATTCTTAGAGGGCCCCCTAGGGGGTGACAGCAGAGAAAACGAACAATGGATTTGCTCCCCATTCCGACCAGCCGTGGATGGCTGTAAGGACATGAGCCCAATGGAGGCAGATTTACAGAAAAAACAACAAGAAATTAATGAGCTGAAAGCCTCTCTGGCAAAATTGCAGGTATGGTATGATGGTTAATATCTGATTTACAACACCACTTGCACCAAAGTCCTCTATCAACTACTTCCCTATGAGGGAAGGAGGGCTTCTTCTAGCCTCCTTGTATCAGGGTATCCTCAAAACAGTGTATGTTATTGGAGGTATATTTGAGGGGTCACGAAAGCTTTGAGCAAGTCCCACCACTGTAATGGGCATATCATCCTGATACCAAGTGGCTCGTAGAACGTCTCTTTCAGATATGAAATCAAACTATTGTGAATGGTAGTCATATTCTCTTAATGATCGACTCACAGATTTGATTTCCAATTTTTATCCTTTTCGTTCGGCTAGTCCATGGACTTTCAATTAGAGTTGAAAGCCCATGGCTAGTCTAAAGGGGTCCTTCGAAACTATGAAACATCGGGGTGCTAATTAATGCATATGTTCGGTATTAATCAATTATTTGCAATGCACCATTGTCACAATTAGTAACACGAATATTACAATTACGACACAAATGTCTTTGTTTCGACTCGTATCGTTAGTAATTGTGTTAAATATACTAACAATGTTGATGTAACATTTATGGCAGTGTACATGTACATAGTCATATAAGAGGCTTAGCACATATGCCTAGCAATAATGGATGAAATTATATAATTATTGGATAAATGCGCTAATATTGGTGTATAAATAATTTAACGACATGAATACTGAACCCAATGCTATAATAACAGCTTGACAGATATTTGAAATAATCAACACCATACATCGAACGTTCCAAATCGCGTTACGTGGAGAAAATTCCAATATTGAAATTACTTGTCTAAGCCATGAAAGTTCAAATACATAGTTTGTTTAGTCAACTTTCAGATGTGGAGGTAGTCAAATATGTTTCATAAGAATGACCGCGTAATCAAATATCACGATTGTTACCTCAAGGTTTTACCACTAATATACATAAAGCGATCGTAATCGGTTAAGGAGAAAACGAGTAGGAATTATGTGATTAATCTTTAAGGATTGATCCTTAAGTACAACCACCAGTTTTGGTAATACAAGGTGTAAACGTACTAAAAGTGATTTTTATCATCCAGGAGCAATTAAATTGTATGTGATCCGAGATCATACATTGTCATAAGTTGTGTGAGAATACCATGTATGTAGCACGTACGATGATCTGATTATTTATTAGCTTGAGTGTATCTTGGTGAATGTGATGGATGCGTTTTACTTCGTGAATTTTCAAAACTGCACCCTGGGCAATGTACATATACACAAGTTGAACTCTTTCTTGAGTTTAAGTTGTAGCGTACATAGCAGTTCAAGATGTTTTTTACTTTTGCACGATTTTGTTTCATCATAGCTGATTTCAGTTCTTCACATGCCATGCTTCAGCCATCATGATAAACATGACATTTCATTTCTTCTCAGCCCTGAGATGGTGAAACGGGTGAAACAGAAAGATGGTATGAGTATCAGAATGCGTTTCAGCAATCACATCTTTTTCCACCGCGACACGATATCCATTGGTTCTTTGTTAAATTCGTTGTTGTTTGTTATATCGAGCTGACACCTTGACAACTACAGTAGTTGTGAATCTATGTTTGCTATACATGTACCATATAAAATAAATGTTTTTGTGGTATCTTGCAAAAGATCAAGCTGATATTGTAACTGATTACATACTGCCGAGTCCTAATGTTTTTTTCTTAATATGAATACAATTTTAGAAGAAAATAAATGTGTAAGGCCTATAAAAATGTTTTTGTAAGATTACTATTTTATCAATACAGTGGTCCCCATTTGTATAAAATATTCAGAAGTTGCTAGCGCATGTAGCGATCGAGATTGAATCAACAATAAACAGAACAAATAAGCAATAAACGGCACTGTGATAGCAATTTACAGCTGCAAATTCATTTAAAATTAGAAACTCATTAATGTTTACATCTTTTGGAATAAGAATATTTATTTTGAGTTTATATTTTCAGGAGGATTTAAACACATTAAAAACAACAGGAGGAATTGGAAACAACAGTGGCTCCTGTCAAAAACGGACAGTGTGTCCTGATGGTTTCTATTTCAACGAGCAATTACAATCGTGCTATCTTTTCCAATACGTTACAAATGCAACCTGGTTCGAATCTAACGCATTCTGTAATGCCATGGGAGCACATCTTGTTTCGATAGAAACTGCAGAGGAACATACGTGGCTTGTCCAAAAAATTAAGGACGACGGCAGTGCGTATAAATACAGGTTGGATACGGTCTGGCATGGGGGCACTGACGACATGTACGCCCTTTGGACAGGGGGTAGTATGTTAACAGGAACATTTGGTTGGGCTGGAGGCCCTTGTTTTGATCCTAAAGTAGGAACATTTACTAAATGGGCCCCTGGACAACCGGATAACGCTAATGGAAAAGAGCAATGCACATTATTGTGGGCCGCTATGAATTTTGATTGGGGAGACTGGTACTGCTGGCATAGAATGCATTTTATATGTGAAATAGATCTCTAGACACCATTTGCTCAAACGCTCAACCACCATGCATTCCAAATTTCAGTCACGTGACCCTGCCAAACATGTAACAAAATCAATGAATGTCGTTAATGGAATAAAAAATATCTGAATAACATGGCGTCAATGACTGTGATTCAACCATTCATTCGTATTTTTAATTTAGACATTATGCAGTTTAATCACGCGACCCAGTTTACAGTTGTTCAAACCGCAGATATCCTTAAGGATACAGGGTAGCTAGCTCAATAAACCTTGGCTCAAGATACATGACACGTTAGAGGAACGAGAACAATTCTCACAAATTGTTCCCTCTATCAGCTGCAGAAGTCCACTTTGTAGTTTATGTCCTACAAAGGCAAGCATGAGGGCCAAGTGGGACCATATAAAACGAGGACATTCATCTCTAGTGTGCATCAATTTATCGATTGATGGCTCCCCCACTCTACCTAACCACGTTTAAAAAGGGGCGCGGGTGACCGTGAAGTTGCAAATGGAGCGGGTATTCCCAATCTTTGTCTAATGGGCTTTTCTGGTAGTAATAAAAATATGTAATATGTAGTTTACCTCGAGGAATATGGAAAAACTAATGTCCTGCATTTGTAACTTCACTGAAGCCTGTTTCCCTTTTAAACGTGGTTACATGGTAGGGTAGAGAGAACACTCCTGCCAAACGCGTAACGCAAACAATATATGGCTTGCTAGACGATGTAAAGTAAAGGAGATTCTTCATTTTCTACGATTTTTTATTAGGAGCTGCTACGTGTAGAAACAAGTTTATAATGATTGGATATTGGTCATATTGTGTATACATGTGGGAGTTAATTTTCCAAATATTGCCCATTGTGTATTTTCAATACATCTGCAGCGATATTTTAATTATTATAAGTTTCAGTTATTTCATGTTTTAGTTAAACACATATTGAATAGAAAAGCACATTAAATTCCTTTTTATATGCGCTTCAAAATAGGAGCTTATGTGAGTGTAGCACGTGTAGATTCTAGGATTTTAGATTCCGGACACATATGAGGCTCTGATATCACTCTACTATACCTTGCAATTGGTGTTCATGAGCAACCCATGTGGCTTATTATTTGTCTGTTCCTTATTAATGGTTTATCGTTTGAAAGTTAGATGTTACTAAGGCACTTTCAAAAATATACTAAACAATACAATTAGACAAACAAATTATCTTATGCATTTCTAGGTGTTAGGTATAGTAGAGTGGATATATAGAAATTATACAAGGATTAAATTGTATTATTTATTCAAGAATTATATATATTGTGTTTATAGCCAAACAATGGGCTAGCTTACAAACCAATGCAATATACTGTTTATAATACAGTTTTACAATAATGAACATGTACCTAGTAATAAATATACATAGGAATAGAAATGGCATCCTTTAAATTTTTTTCCCACGATATTCAATAAGTTTTGCATCCCAATTTTAAATTTTCATATACAGGCCCCAGTATAACCAGACATTTGGTAAAAAGGCAGTTTTATTAGTGTTCAGTTTACATAAATCAACCCAGCCCACATGGTCTTATTAACCTTTTATAATTTCTACAATGAATAAAAACATAATTATGAGGACAAATATACAATCATATGACAACGTATTTTGTCAAAATATTCAAAAATAAACTGTCTTGTCAAATGTTAAAAATATACTGTAAGTAGTACACTTGATATGGTTCACAGTTGAGATTATTAAGATCTCTAAGTGTTGTATCGTTTTCAGCACTCCAATTGTACTTACTTATTAGGTAGAACCAGCTGGCTGGTTGTGTTGAAACTATCAAGACCAAATCTCCATAGAACTGTTCTGGTGTGTGCAAAATTTCATTGATGTCACTTTTCTAATTTAGGAGTTATTGCCTTTTTTCCGGTCACCCTGTATATCTTAGTAATTCATTCTTGTAAAAACTCAAATGCATCTGCCATCATAACAGTAACTAAGATTCATCAATCTATAAATCGTCAGTCTTATCAGGATATGTATTGGAAATGTATGAAGTCAAATTTTCTTCAAGAGTCGCCGAAGCTTATTTACCAAGACTACCATCTATGTCCCTTTACTCTTCTTTGTACACGTTCCTGCATGACTGAATGAATAGTGACGTCACTATCCCTAAGAGTTTGCAGACGATCATGATATTGTACACAAGTTAACGATTTATCAGAAGACTTCAGGATGTCAATCCAAATTAAAAGAACAAATGCAAACAGTTTGTCCATCAGATAAGGAATGTTATTATAAAAAGGGCGGCTAAGCTACACATTTTGAGAGATCTTGAAGTGAAAGTGTAATATTATGACCCACATTGATCACTGTTCCACTCTCAATTGGGATTTAAATCCAGGACCTATAGTCTACTAATTACGAGTTTTGTCTTCATGCTTTTAAATTCAACTGGGCAAGTAAATTATATTGGGTGCACTGGTTATCCGCTCGATTACGCTGGTTACCGAAACGGTTCGTTTACGTAACAAAATGTCGGAACGTCGAAGGTACGATTTTTCTTTTTTCCTTATTTCACGTGTTGTATGTAGGCAGAATCTCCACGACGTTTTTTCTCACAAATGTATATCAGTATCATATGTTTTAGAAAATGTACATGTTTGCGAAAAAATAGCTCAGAAGACAACAGAATCGTCGATTTAATTCCTCACTCAAGTTACATAAACGGTTTGGGTTAAAAGTGCAGATCTTAACTGTTTTTCGAAAAACCGTTTCTGTAACTTAAGTGAGGAATTAAATCGACGATTCTGTTGTCTTCTGAAGTATATGTTCGCAAATATGTACATTTTCTAAAACATATGATACTGATACACGCTTGTGTTAAAAATGTCGTGGGAATTCTGCCTACAACATGTGAAATAAGGGGACATTTTGTTAGGGTTAACCCAACTATAACACACGTATTCCCATGCAAATGATCTGTCTTTCAGAGAAAACTAAGAATTGTGGACATGTTTTGCTATCATCCCATCATACCCCAGTATGTCCTCTGTCTCTGTCAGTCAGAAAAGTTTGAATCAAAACTCCCCACGAAAATCAAAAGATCTCACCTGTTGAAGACGCCATCTATAGAAAAGTTCAAAAAATGTCATTCTGATTTTGACAGATGGAGGCAGGTCAAAAGGTCAAATCTTTTAAAGAAAATGCACCTTTTATCACATCAAATCATGTCTTAGAATTGGTCCATACATACACTTTTTCATTTATGTACTTACCAAAATCCGACCACTGGTGATGCTAATGTAATTACAATAACTGGACTATATTTTTGTTTTTGCAATGCCATCTATTCGTCTTCCAACTTGGCGGAAGGATCAATAGGTTGTGTGTCTCCTTATCGAAACCCCGGGACCGAAACGAACCAGCGTAATCGAGTTGATCACCAGTGGGGTGGGGGTGTGGGGAGAATCGTTCATAGAGGACCATAATTCTACAACTTCATTCACGAACAGTATCTCTTAATCGGCCAGTGTAAACTCCTAATGTAATAAATAGTAGTTTCATTATATCTAACACGGAAGTTGTCATAAATAATCTATACCGATTTCTGTTTGTTTTATATTGTTATAGGTTTCATTTCGAAGAAGAAACGAGTAGCAAAAGGTGAATGCGTGACACATGATTCAAACGTCTAAGAACTGTTTAGAATTCATTCTTGAATATTCTCTAGAGTCAATCGGTGGACAAGCATGTCACGTGGATTTATTTTGGAGACCAAATGAAAAGTGAGCATATACTTAGTATAGTCTAATACCTTAGAAAAAAGAGTATTGCGTTATATCTGATACTGAATCAATCGTGACTCAAAACAGAAAAAATCTTGCTAAAGATTTTCCATACATTTGATAAAAACATAATACTTCAACAATTGGTAATGCAAAATGGATCAAAAACATGGGGAAGAGGTTCTTTATGATTTGAATTCAGAGCCTAAATACGATGGCGGCCCTGACAAAATTTGCTCCACTAATCAGCCAGTGCAAGGAGAAAAAACTATCCACCGCTGCCTTAGAGATCTGCAAAAACGTAACGTTAACTTCTAGATACACTCCATGTCAACTGACAACACACACGAATTACATAGAGAAACGTGTCACGATGATATGTGATAAACTAGGTAGTTTATACCCCATTTTCAAGATTTTTGATGTTCTGCCAAACGGAAGCTACTATCACGGAATGAAGATTTGTGACCCGGATGAAAAAGATTACCTAGCCATATTGGAGCTTTCACATCACACAGCCATGGCGATTGTTGAATTGAAGACGGATAAACCTCAAGTTGAAATTATTGACAAACAATTGGCGGAAAACATAAATGACACGTGTAAGAAGCTTGGTTGTAGTGTACTTTCCTACCCAGAGGCGTAGCTAGCCCATTTTGCGAGTGTACGCCCGTATGATTTCCCGGTTTTATCAAAATTAACAAAACGATGGTTCCATAAAATAGGAAGATCCCGGGTGTTCAGAAGATAGGGGACATACTAAACACTCTTAATTCAATGAAGGAAATATTTTGATCATTTTGACATAGCTTTTTAAAGGGATTGAATTAACTGTATTAACAGATAATATTCGGGAAACAAAATAGACAGATTCTATATAATCATGCCATCGGCGATCGAAGCCGTCTATCAAGGCGATTTTATTTTTTAGGCTACATAAAACTGTATGTATGAGGCTCATTGTTTTAAGCTTTTGTAGTCATTCTCCATGAAATATTTTTTTTTTTTTTTGTGTTTGTTTTTATCTAGCTCACAAGATGATTAACAATAAAAGAACAGTTACACGACCGTCTCAACTCCATTTCGGATCTTAACAATCTGTACGTGATTCTATAGAATAAATTCTATCTTTCTGTTTTTTGCATTTGCGAACATGTCAATAACAGTATCAATGTTTATATCCTGTTCCCTATGGATATTTATCATGGCCAAGGAAGAAAGTCTTTCCTCGTTCATTGTGGAACGCAAGTATGACTTAATGCGTTTCAAACTGCTAAAGCTTCAAACTGATTCAAAACAAAGAAAATGAAATAATCGAGAACTTTTTTATTTATTAATACGAGTCTTCATAGATCTCCTATCGATTTCTATCTCTTGGTAAAATATTCATTTTTCATCACAATTAATCAGGTAAATTTTATTTTTCCTTAAAATTTGAGAGTACGCCTGGGCGTACTTGGCGTACACGTAGCTACGCCACTGCTACCCAATAAGAGGTAAATTCCTTTTCAGAGATATTAGGATATATCTACACAAAGCAGTACATGCGTGCTTGTCTAAGCTTAGCGAGGAGGGCAAAGTGATATACAAGGGGAGGAGAGACACAAAGAAGTCAAATATAGATGGCTCTGTATTATCTCTAGGTGAAATAGAAATGGAAGATGAATGGAATAAACCATGCGTGAAGCTCAGAACTGGGGCTGAACTTTGTACCGTAGATGTAGACATTGCTTTTTGCCTCGTTGTACCAGATGACCTTCACCGGTTGCAGCAGTCAGCTGAATCACAAAATCCCAAAAGTGACACTCAAAATTCGTCAATTGACCAACATGAGCTGGCAGGGAGCAGGCCCAAGCAGACTTCTACCAAGTACGGATATCGTATCGTGCTCCCAGTAGTTCAAACTCGCTACTGGCGGAAATCCTTTTACGAATTCCCAGAGCCGGGATTACTTAACAAGCCCCATAGACACATCGTTATGGTGGTGAAATATATAATGCACCTCTGTAATAGAGCAGGCTTCTGTCGCACCCGTTTTAGCTCCTATAGTTTCCAAACCTTGGTTCGGCATCACCAGGCAACATGTCTACATCAAGAGCGACGTGCTCGATCTCAAATTGATCACCAAAAGGCACATTGTTTTCCGTCAGGGGAAGGGACCTTGGGCTCATGTTTGTTCGATGTAGCTCAACGCGTGATGAACCTTATAGACCTGTTAGAAAAGAATAACATAGTAACGGTCGGTAACAGATTGAAAAATCTTCCTGATGCTAATGTAGTGGAAAATAACGAGTTCAGCAATAACATTCCTTACCCGATGGACAAACTATTTGCTATTGTTCTTTTCATTTGGATTGATACCCTGAAGTCTTCCGATGATTCGCTCACTGGTCCACAATATCGAGATAGTCTGCAAACTCTTGTGGGGAGAGTGACGTCACTATTCATTGAGTCATGCAGGAACGTGTACAAAGAAGAATATAGGGATATAGATGGCAGTCTTGATCCTCTTGTTCAGATAAATAAGCTTCAGCGGCTGATATCTTATAAAGAAAACTTGCCTCCAAACATTCCAGTCGACATTACCAGTCTTTTAAAGGGTTCCGATAAGCATCCCGTATAAAAACAATATGGCGGCTCCAGGCGAATCAACTGGATCAGTCCATTTTTAAGAAATAAGGGGAGTTCTGTAAAATCCAGTTTATTGAAATTGTTTTTGAGATAAAGTAATCCGTTTATAATGATTTTGAAAACGTTATCCATGGAGTGATTGCGTTCAAACAGTACATGTACAACAGCCAATATAAATCCTTGTATTAGATTTGCTTTGTTTCATTTGTAGGATATTTCATATGCCAAGCTGTGTGCTATTCAGTGAAAACAAATAAATGTTAAAAATGGCTATTTTTCATGTTAATGAAAATAGCTGAAACTACATTGATTTTTGCTCATCATTTTGTGTATTCCAAAACACAATGAATTTATCTAAAATCTGTCAGCATACTTTTTGATTGTTCCGAATGTAAATCGCTTTGATATTTGGCTCCAAGATTAGGAATTTCGTGAAATTGCTCGTGTAACAGGACAGCACGCCGCTTAAAACATGTCATATCTCAATAATAAATGGTCGCATCTTTTAAATTTGGTTTTGTTGGTATAGAGAACATTCATTCAGAGTATGATGTAAGCACCGTATTTTGTCTCCACCAATTACTAATTAAATAGACCCGATATAGTAAGTGTAAAATTTATTCTGTGAAAATCGACATGGTCGTTAAAACGCACCCACACGTCGTGAGGGGAATCCGAGAAACAAAAGTTATCTGTGGTTATTAAGTCCTTAGTTCAGTTTATCAGACCATCATGTCAGAAATGTTATTTGCAATTGTGATTGGATTATAATGGGCATGATCTGAAAACTTCTTGGAAATCACCGTTTTGCTTGTGAAAAACGACCACGATGTTACTCATTCATTGACAGCACTTTAATGTGAAAAGGTACACTATTCTATAAAACAATATGTCCATTCTGTTATAGCAAAAGGAAATTTCGAAAGAACCAGCATGACCCCATTTATTAACCAATACGATGTGAAACTGTGACAATCGACATGCGTGAAAATCGACATGATTATACCATTGAACTCAAAGCATTAAATAATCCATTTTTATAAATCACAGCGGGGTTGGTTCTATTTTATATGATTACTAATCCTTTGAAAACACATATATAACAGTTATTCCCATAATTACGCATAACATCAACTTGTACAGAGGGTTTCGATAGCTGCTAACAAGTTTTCTCTTTGGTAAGTGTGCATTTTATCTTTTATACGTCTTTACAAAATTACGTTACATGCAAGCAAATGAGAAGTTATTTTGGAATTACATAAGCATAATTTAGCGAAAGAATTTCTCTACAAAAAACGCTATGAAGACCATAATATACCAAAATCGTTCAGCCACTGAAAATAACGTTTCGTCCAGTGTATTCCCGGGAATCACTAACTTCAATTATAGAGTTCTTTAAAGTTTGGATTCAGTTTTCTTTTCAAGGATTTCACCCTTCTCAGTGGAAAAAGAGAAAAACCAACAAGTCTAGTTTGTAATATGAACGATTGCATAGCATTTTAACGATGTTTATGTTCTAATTCTATTTCATCAAATTCATTTGCAGTCTCTTACTACGACGTGATCTGTAAGACATAGTATGCCTTCGCAAAATGCAATGCGTTGCAAAAGATAAAGGGAAAGACAAAAACAAGTCAATGCCCGAGAATATACAAAAAGTGTAAGGAGCGCAATGCAAAAAATACGTTCCCCATGGACACATATCGCCAGCCAAACTAGCAAGACGAAACCTGAAACACAAAATATACATGCGACAATGGAGGCAACAAAAGCGAGGTGAATTGTATTCTGCTTCTCGAAAAACAAGAACCGGGGGCACCCCATTGAAGATAATTCTTCCCGAAATTCAAAGAAAAACAAAAAACACAGGAAACAATTGAGTTTAAATAAAGTTATGAGGGGTGAGATCAGAAACCTTAGAAAAGGAATCGAAAATGAGAAAAAAGAAATTCGTTCTCTAAAGCGGAAACTGTGGCGCCTAAAACAGAAATCTCAGAATGAACATAGCAACATAAACACTACCGGTGTGAAAGAAATTATGGTCCCCCAGGGATTATGGTCCCCCTTTTTAAAGGCCCTTACTGGCCCTGATTGTGTATAAGATAATAAGGGAAAGAGTTGTATTTAGGTCACCATATAAATCAATGGATAGTAGGACCATAATTTGATAGGACCTCCTACCCTTTTACACCGGTTCAACTAAAGAAACTTAGATTCACCAGGAAGACAGTCATTTCAAGACTTAAAGTGCCCGATAAAGTATAAAATGCGCATGCGTCCAGGTGTTGATAAACTATAAATAGCGAAAATCCAGGGTTTGTCACCACAAGGTAAGCCAGGACGTGTTGAGAGAACAGCTAGTGTTGATATTGAATTTATATGTAGCCAGATAAGTTTCCTTATTGAAATTACATATGGTTATTAGCAATACTTTGTAGGTGCTAAATAATAAAATATTTAGAGTATATATGAGAGAAATTGGTCATTTCGAACCTGTTGAAAAGTTTGTGGCTCTCGGCTACACCGGGGAATTTACTTCCATGAGTACACACATAAATCCAGGTACGAAAAATTTCGAACGGAATGCGTGACATATACGTAATTCGCGTGAAAAGTCCGAACGAAATGCGTACATCATTTAGGCCGTTCGTATTTTTGCTGTGTAGACGATCTTTTTTAGAAATTTTTCTACAGAAATATTTTTCCTTGACAATTACCTGGTAAAATGCGTATTTGCGTGACATTTTCTGTCACGCAAAAATAACTGGCGTGACTTCAAATTCTTCAGCAAATGCGTGACAAATACGCAAATTGCGGGACAGTTGACAGGCCTGAATGTGTGACTAAATGCTACTATCGAGAAGATAAAATAACGAATACGACAATAAGTTATTGCATGTGACAATTCCGAGCCTTCATCTCACTGAAGCATTTTGAAGTGAAAATAGGATTTTTGTTTTGATACATGGATTCAGATGAACGTAACTTTATTCTGACAACTAATCAAAACTGAACGAAATTGATTGTACGTAACAGACAATTTATTGTTTTACAATGTTTTGATTGGCTAAACGAATGAAACCAACAAATTATGACATGTAAAATGACAATTTTGAAATGTAAAATTTAAAAGTGACAAACACAACCTCCCTATCCACTCTTTGGGAGCCCTAGTAAATTAGTAATATGTACATGCAGCAGTGGTAGTGTGCAGCTTATTATCACACTACACTAAGTCTGTTGTTTGTAATAACACTGTTCACTCAACGTATGTTTTGTGTGTGGGCAGTCAACGATAATCATTGTTTTATCCCGGTTATATGACCTCGGCAATTATAACAAAACCGTACTAAACGAAAAAACGCAAATAAGAGAAAGCTTTCACACACATATAAAAAATGAACTAGTCTAATCCGCCAGTATAAACTCTGTGCTATACGTAGCCGGGTCAGGCGCACACTTTAAAAGGAATTCGCACGACAAAAGATCGGTGATAAAAGATTTACATGTAAATTGTGCACTTAGTTGTTGAAAATAGTGAAAATACATATGTACATATGATAATGTTCAGTTCATAGCCAAAGCGATGATTGTATTGTGTTCCCCGTACGTAATACGTACTTTATTAACGGTAGTAGAATAAATATGAAACACTGTAGTCTTTAATTTATGGTTTATGTCAAGTTTTGGCCTGAAATGATAACAATATTTACACACAAATACTAACTAAAACCTTCTCAATCCAGCTAGTCATGTCCTGCATATCAAACATGCCCATTTGTCAAGTAAGCGCTCCCTAAAATGATCCTAATCTCACTGCCATTTGTTTAAGATTTTATTGTGAAAATTAACACGTGCCTTAAATAGTTAACTGGCCTAATGGTCAATACTTCCCCAATAAAACTTTTATCGTTTTCTAATCGTATTTCGCATACTTTTTCACCATCGCCTCTAATCATGTTTCATTGGAGTCGACCCTTCCTATTTTACTAAAATTAAAAAACGTAAAGCAAGCCAAAAATCGAGAAAAATGATGGATTAGAATGTATCATGTTCAGAAGTGATGCACATCAAAAAGGAATGCTTGTAGTCCAAATTCATTTGTGATTTTATAGGACACTAGAGTCAACATGAGGAACGTTCTTGATTTTTTGAAAATGTTGCACTCTTATTTGAATAGTTTAACATATTAATTAGGGGTTGGATATGTGAAAATCGACACGTTTGCGACGGGTCCTAATTTCAATTTGAAAATTCACCTATTTTTCCTGTGAGTTTACTTCAATGTCTTTGGTAACTTGTGTACAACTGTATGCAGATACATACCGCATGGCTATTTGAAAAAAATACTCCAGTGCTTTTTTCACTTTTTTGCAAAATTTGTTTCTCACTTAACACTGAAAACCAGTTACACGTTTGCGACGGGTCCTAATTTCAATTTGAAAATTCACCTATTTTTCCTGTGAGTTTACTTCAATGTCTTTGGTAACTTGTGTACAACTGTATGCAGATACATACCGCATGGCTATTTGAAAAAAATACTCCAGTGCTTTTTTCACTTTTTTGCAAAATTTGTTTCTCACTTAACACTGAAAAACAGTACATGTACAACAGCCAATATAAATCCTTGTATTAGATTTGCTTTGTTTCATTTGTAGGATATTTCATATGCCAAGCTGTGTGCTATTCAGTGAAAACAAATAAATGTTGTCGATTTTCACATATCCAACCCCTAATTAATATGTTAAACTATTCAAATAAGAGTGCAACATTTTCAAAAAATCAAGAACGTTCCTCATGTTGACTCTAGTGTCCTATAAAATCACAAATGAATTTGGACTACAAGCATTCCTTTTTGATGTGCATCACTTCTGAACATGATACATTCTAATCCATCATTTTTCTCGATTTTTGGCTTGCTTTACGTTTTTTAATTTTAGTAAAATAGGAAGGGTCGACTCCAATGAAACATGATTAGAGGCGATGGTGAAAAAGTATGCGAAATACGATTAGAAAACGATAAAAGTTTTATTGGGGAAGTATTGACCATTAGGCCAGTTAACTATTTAAGGCACGTGTTAATTTTCACAATAAAATCTTAAACAAATG